CAACAATACCTCAAATCAAAGCACAATTACAGACCTGTAAATGCAAAGCCATTATTATGTCTCTGGGCAAATACCTCAATTCCACTTGCATTTTAATAGTTGTTTTCTGATACTGAAGTTGCTAATGCTTTCATTGCCCCTTAATGACTATTCTTAGCAAACAAATTTTGTGCCTTACAATTAGTGATTTTCTTCCTAATTATGGCTTTTTTCAATTTTCACATGAGATGACAAAAAAATTCATGTTTTGCCCAAGAACTCGCTTATTAGTTAATGAAAATTTGTCTAATAGCAGCCTTTTAGATACCCTGTCAAAATCAAAAGCGGCATTCAAAGAAGAGAGAGGTTGCTTTCATATTAACATTCAAAATTAATTTCTGGGTAGGGGCTGAGAGTGAGATGTAGGAGGCATAATTTCTTCCAAAAAGACTAAAATAGATATTCTTTCTGGGTCTATAGAATTTAAAATTATTAAATATTTCTCCCTCTCTCCCTTTCTCTCTGTCTCTCCCTCCCCCCAAATCCTTCCCTCGCTCTCTCCCTGTCCCCCCACAATCCCTCCCACTCTCTCGGTCATTCCCACCCCCTCATTTGTACCTTTTCCTTTGCCTGTGATATATACCCAATCCCCGGAATTCAAATGGGTGGATGGGCAAGGATTAATCTTTGGAGTTAGGGTCTGATCATTTCAATATTGCTACATAATCAACTAATTCTCCACCTAGGGTTAGGTTTTTCAGTTTCACCCCCCCCCCACCTACCCTCCCCCACCCCGGATGTATTCGGTATGCAACAATGCTTTTGCGAGCAAGGACACACCAACCTCGGACAAATCTCCTACCTGTTCTTTGGTTTTTGAATCATAAATATGGCATGCTGGGGATGGAAACAGAATCAAATATTGTCCCCCAAACAAGCATCCTTATTCTCCCCGGCAGATGCAGTCTGGTTCACTTGGCTGGGTTTGTTAATAATATGGAGGGAAAGCGAACTTTATCAAAAAGTAGTGACTCATTTTTCTTATCCAGTAAAATCCATAAAAGATTTAGGCATGACCCAAACAATTTGCATCTTAAATATTCATGCCCTCGTTCCGGCCCTGAAATGAAATTTAAATTGTGTCTGGGGAATTTGTTGTGCAATAACTGCCACAGCCCTCTTCGGAGGGCTTCAAAGACCAGGAGAGACAGAGAGAGAGAGAGAGAGAGAGAGAGAGAAGGGAATATTGAGACCTGTTTTTCATTTCAGAGACTTACAGGGAGCAAATGAAATTCGCTCCTGCTCTCAGACGCCCCTCCTGGGAAAGGAAACATTGTCCGGATCAAGTAAATAAGGCCCTCAGTGTCAGCAAAGGCTGTGGTGGATGAAATTAATGTTCAAATGATCCTGAAGTTTCTCGCATAGGTTCTTTTAAAGCAGATTTTTCAACCTCAGAACTACTGACATTCGGGGCTGGATAATTTTATTGTGGGGGCTGTTTGGGCTCTAGAAGATGCTTAGCGGCGTCCCTGGTCTCCACCCCCACCCCCACCGATGTCAGCAGCATCCCCCAAGATGTGACAAGCCAAAATGTCTGAGGACATTGCCCATTGTTCTGGTTGGGGTGGGAAGGGAGGAGGGAGGAAGGAAGACAAAATCTCCCCTGGTTGAGAACCACTATTTTAAAGACAAAGAAGTCTTTTGTCCCTGCTGTATCCTAAACTCAATAAGTTAACTTGTTTCTTTCCAATATGTTTTCCTTCCAGCATTTCAAAAAATTAAGACATAATTGACATATAATATTCTATAGGTTTAAGGCGTACAACATGTTAATCTGATACATTTATATATTGTAACACCATCTCACAGATTTAGTTCTTTTTTATGGTGAGAACAATTAAGAGCTAGTCTCTTAGCAACTTTGAAGTCTGTAATACGGTATTGTTGGCTCTAATCGCTAGGCGATGCATTCGATTTCCAGGACCTGTTTATCCACTAGTTGCAAGTTTGTACCTTTAAACATCTCCCCAGTTCCCATACCCCCCAGCCCCTGGGAACCACCATTCTACTCTCTGTTCTTATGAGTTGGCCTTTTTTAGATTCCACATACACATAAGATCATACAGTACTTGTCTTTCTCTGTCTGACTTACCTCACTTAGCATAATGCCCTCAAGGGTCATCCATGTTGTTGCAAAGGTCAAGATTTCCTTCTTTCTCACGACTGAATAATATTCTACTGTATCTGTGTACATTTGGGACTTTTTATTGAAGTATAACATGCATGCAGAAAAGTGCATGAATCTTAAGAGTCCAGCTCAATGAGGTGTCATAAAGGGAACACACCTGTGCGACCAGAACCCTCCCAATACCTAGGTGTCAGCGGATGGAAGGATGGATAAAGAAAATGTCGTATTATATATACAACGGAATATTAGCCAGCCTTAAAAAATAAGGAAATCCGCCATTTGCAACAACGTGGAAGTAGCTGGAAGGCATTATGCTAAGTGAAATAAGCCAAAGACAAATACCTCATAGTATCACTTCTATATGGAACTTTAAAAAAAAAAAAAGTCAGACTCATAGCAACAGAGAGTAGAAAAGTGGTTGCCAGGGGCTGGGATATGGGAGAAATAGGAAAAAGGAGATAAAAGGATAGAAAATTGCAGTTGTAAGATGAATAAGGTCTGAGGACATAATGTAAAACACGGTGGTTATAGTTGGTAACAAGGTAGCATATAACTGGTATTTGCTGAAAGGGTAGAACTTAAATGCTCTCCACAACAACAAAAGCTAGCTCTGTGAGATGATGGGGGTGTTAACTGACATGATGGGAGAATCCCTTCACGATGTATACAAGTATCAAATCATTCCAATGTACACTTTAAATATTTTACAATTTTATTTGCCAATTACACTTCAGCGAAAAAAATTTAGAAATCAAAGTGTAACCTCCTCCACTCCCTCTCGCTTTCCTTATCTCCCTCCCTTGCTTAATTATCTCCCTTGAACTTATGACCTTCTAAATTGCTTTCCTTTTTTACTTTGCTTAATGTCTAAATCTCCCCACTAGAATACAAAAGCAGCCAGCACTGGGACCCCAAGTCCGGGGCTCTTTCTACACTACCATGTGAAATGCCTATTCCTGACTGCCCCTAGGGCAGAGACTTTGCCCATTTTGTTTACTGCTCTCTCCCTTGCACCCAGAATATGGCCTGGAATAGAATAGGTGTTCAATAAACATAGGTTAAGTATGTCTGTCCCCTGCTTAGCCTGGCCTCCTCCCACAGCAGAAATTCTGCAAAGAAAAACACAAATTTCTCTTCCACGTTCAGGGTCCTATAAGCAGCCTGAAGAAACAGTCCTTTTGTGCCAGCAGATTCAAAAGGTACTGAGAAGACCATCTTCCCCATCACGTAGAGTCAGGCTTTCAACTGTGCATACAGCCCAGGAATGACGTCTAACAAGGTAGTTGAGACCAAGTGGCCTTCACTGAGTGAGACAAAAATCAGTAGGAAAACCAACGGGGCTCAAACTGAATGACACAATTGGTTACTGCAAAGTGTGAGTCTGTTTCTCCAAAACGAGGACAGTCTGAAAAATGAGCAGACCCATGGACTAAGGAGTATTATCTCAACAGGAGCAAGTCCCATTCAGCAAGGAGCTCTCCCCGCTTTTGAACCACCTGTTGAACAGGACAAAAGACTAAAGCCTGTAGACCACATGGGACGTACCTTGCACTTGGGCTCTCTAAGTTGAAAGTCGTGTGCCGCATTTTTTTTTTCAGCCAACCACAAAAGTGTCTTTCATTAGCAGCATGGTGCCTACCTCACCGAACGGCTGTCTAAGGCTTTAGACATCAATGTCCCCAAGGTTTATGGAGGGTGAGTATAGTCTAACACAAAAGGACATCTTTACCCTGATGAGAAAAGAGACTCTGGTATCCACTGACCTACTCTAATTGGAGTCTCTACAGACCCCCCTTTACTCTCTGCCCTGGTGGAATAAGGACACGGCATTTAAAATGGTGTGCAAGAACTAGAGTAGGAGGCTCAGCCCCGGCCTTTATACTTCATCATCAGATCTTTGCAAGTCAACTAACCTTGAGGGACCCCGGTTTCCCCAAGCACTTATTACTGTGGTAAGGAGAGAGAAGTGGTTATCCATAGAAGGCAGAGCCAGAATTCAAACTCAGCTCTTGAGGCCCGGAAGCCTGTGATCTTAACCCCTACATTCCGTCGCTTCCTGTGTTCATCTCAACAAGCTGGTTCTTCCTTCCCCTCCGAAATTTGAGTTTCTCTTCTCTTGGATTTTTTTTTTTCTCCCAAGTTATATGGACGGTTTTGACAAAACAACACATTTTCTTCTTTGATATCATCTGAAATAATCAGTCACTACTATGCATCGTGCTTCCGATAAAAGAAAAAGGCAAGTGTAAACATTATGTCTTTCCAAGACTCAATTTACACAAATTACATATTAGATGAAGCAGGCCCAAGAAGGCATTGTGTCTGGAGGAGACGAAGACGATGTAAGTGTTACAAAACAACCCAAGCACAGCTCGGAAAGCTTTAACAATGGGATGTAGCAGCAAGTGGGTGGGGAGTGTAGACCGTGGAACATTCTCTCCTCTTCTACAATGTTGCTCTTTTCTTGCTTAATTAGAATCAGATAGTGTGCAATATAATCATCACCTGATAACATAATTCCGTCAAACATGGAAGAGTAATATTCAAGTGACTGAAGCATGAACATAATTCACCTCAAGCAAGGGAGAGAAATTGGATTAGCAAAATGCCGCCAGATTCACTAATTAATTTGCTATATTATGCATGACAGGAAACAGCATAGAACAGAAAAAAAAAAGCCTGATTTTTCTGAGTTTGGGAGGTAGCAATGGATGTGTTTCCCCATAATTTATTTCTGCAATGGGTTCATTATTTGATCAAGGATTGGCTGAAAGGGGATTCCACAGGGTGGAATGAGAACAAAGCCGTGAGCTGGTGGAGCTGGTGTACTTACCCACTTAGCAGATGTCAGAATCACTCTGCTTCACCACTAGCCATCTTCATTTAAAGAGCTCCCTTCTCCACCAGAGCACTCATCTGTACCCTGTTTCTCTGCAAACCCAAGAAATGGGCAAATTAGCAGGTGCGTCCCTTGGCCAATTCCGTATCAGTACAAGTTGATAGTCTTTAACTCTATTGTGTTTGTCTCCTGTAAATGACTGGATTTCTAATGAAGGCATACAAAATAATAATATCAAATTCTTATTGTCTTACCTTGAAAGGACAGACTCTCACCAAATTGAAAATCTCATTACATTCTTCAATCTCTAACGATTTGGATTGAGATCCAATAGTGAATACCTTCAAATTATTTATTTATAACCTATTCACATGGTGATTAAGAGTTTTGCATTCTGTTTTCAGACAAACCTGGGCTCAGATCTTCCCTCTACCACTGCATAAGCTTGGTCAGGTCACTTATAGGCCTCTCCGAGCTTCAATTTTCTCATCTGTACACCGGAGGTGTGATAATTGTATTCACCACATTAATGAGATAATACTCATCAGGGGTCTTGTGGAATAACCGGTCACCACCTCATTCTGCCATATTGCTGTTTCTGCTGCTTGAGACCCAGATGAAAGTGGACCGAGCTGGGTATAGCTGGCCTCTACTGGAAACCCCACTAGCACTATTACTCTCTGGAAACAGAATAAGCCCTTCCCCTTTGCTCACCAGAGCTCAGCAGAGGCCACTTTGAGAATTTACAGATTTCAGTGTAATGAAAAGAAAGCACAACACCAAGAATAACTTTCAACTAGTCAGAGGCTGTATTGTAATTCAACCATATCAGTAATGACATTAAAGGTAAACAGTCTAAATAAACACATGAAGAGACAGAGATTCAGAGACTGGATTTTAAAAAAGAAGGCTCAAATATATGCTGCCTACAAGGAACATATAAAGGCACAGATAGGTTAAAGGTAAAAGAAAGAAAAATTATATACTACGCCAGCACTATTCAAAACTATATATTGATTATGTGTGTACTTAACAGAGGAGCTTCAAAACACATGAGGCAAAACCTGATGTAACTGAAAGGAGAAATAGACAAATCCCCAAGCACATTTGGAAACTACAATTTCTCTCTCAGTAGTTGATAGAACACATAGATAATCAGTAAGAATATACAAAACTATTAACCAAGTTAATCTAATGACATAGAACATTCCAACAACAACAGAATACACATTCTTTTCATGTTCACATGGACCATTCAACAAGATATTCTAGACTACGAAACAAACTTTGTCAAATTAAAATTATACAAAATATGTTCTGTGAGCATGACAGAATTAAACTAGAAATCAATAACATAAAGACATCTGAAAATTTTCCAAATACTTGGAAACTAAACACCATCCTAAATAACCTATGAATCAAAAAGGAAGGTATACTTAAAAATTAGGAATTACTTTGAGTTTAATAAAAATAAAAGTTGATGTATCAAAATTTGTGTGACATAGATAAAACAATGTTTAGAGGGAAACCTACATCATTAAATGCTTATGACAGAAAATAAGAAAAGTCCCAAATCATGGTTTAAGTTTGCACCTTAAGAAACTAGAAAAAAAGAGGGCGCCTGGGTGGCTCAGTTGGTTAAGCGACTGCGTTCAGCTCAGGTCATGATCCTGGAGTCCCTGGATCGAGTCCCGCATCGGGCTCCCTCCTTGGCAGGGAGTCTGCTTCGTCCTCTGACCCTATCCCCTCTCATGTGTTCTCTCTCTCTCATTCTCTCTCTCTCAAATAAATAAATAAAATCCTTAAAAAAAAAAAAGAAACTAGAAAAAAAGAAAAAAAATTAGATCCAAGGCAAACAGAAGGAAGGAAATACTAAAGATAAATGCAGATCAATAAAATTGAAACAGAAATGTAAGAAGGAAAAGTCAATAAACCCAAACTTGGTTCTTTAAAAAGATCAATAAATCTAATAAACCCTTAGTCAGACTGATCAAGAAAAAAATGGGAGAGAGAAGACATAACTTATTGATATCAGGAATTAAAGAGGTGACAGCACCACAGATACTGTAGATGTTAAGGTGATAATAAGTGAATATTATGAACAACTTTATGCCAAAATATTCAACCACTTAGATGAATTGGACAAATTCCTTGAACAACACAAGCTCCAAAGCTCACTCAAAAAGAAATAGAAGATCTGAATAGCATGGAGGACATTAGGAGAAGGAAAGGAAAAATGAAGGGGGGAAATTGGAGCAGGAGACGAACCATGAGAGACTATGGACTCTGAGAAACTGAGGGTTTTAGAGGGGAGGCGGGGGGAGGGATGGGTTTGCCTGGTGATGGGTATTAAGGAGGGCACGTATTGCATGGAGCACTGGGTGTTATAGGCAAACAATGAATCATGGAACATCAAAAACTAATGATGTACTGTATGGTGACTAACGTAACATAATAAAATTAAATTTAAAAAAAAGAAATAGAAGATCAATATACAAAAATCAATTGTATTCTATATTCCAGCAATGAACAATCTGAAAGTGAAATTAAGACAATTCTATTCACAATAGCATCAGAAAGAATAAAGGACCTAAGAATAAATTTAAGAAAAGAAGTATAATACTTGTAAGTATCTAAATAAATGGATAGAAATTCCATGTTCCTGGATTGGAAGACCCAACAATATGATGGCAATTTTCTCCAAATTGGTCTATAGATTCAACACCATTCCTATCAAATCCCAGGAGACTTTTTTTTTTTTTCCCAGAAACCTGATACTAAAATGTATATGAAAAAGCAAAAAACCCAGGGGCACCTGGGTGGCTCAGTCGGTTAAGTGGCTGCCTTCGGCTCAGGTCATGATCCTGGGGTCCTGGGATCGAGCCCCACATCTGGCTCCCTGCTCAGTGGAGAGCCTGCTTCTCCCTCTCTCTCTGCCTGCCACTCTGCCTACTTGTGTGCTCTCTATCTCTCTGTCAAATAAATAAATAAAATCTAAAAAAAAAAAAAAAAAGCAAAAAACCCAGCCAAAACAACTTTGGAAAAAGAGAACAAAGATGGAAGACTTGAACCTCCCAATTTCAAAACTTACGAGCATTTAAGATAGCACCAGAAGACATAAAACACTTAGAAAAAAAATATGTGCAAGATCTGTATGCTGAAATTATAAACGCTGATGAAAGAAATCAAAGATACCTGAATAAATGGAAACATATACCCTGTTCATGGACTGAAAGACTCAGTGTTGTTAAGTTGCTAATTCAATGCAATTCAAATCAAACTCCCAGTAGGATTTTTTTTGTAGAAATCAACAACATGGTTCTAAAATGTATGTCGAAAGGGGCACCTGGTTGGCTCAGTCGGTTAAGCGTCGGACTCTTGATTTTGGCTCAGGTCATGATCTCAGGGTTGTGAAATTGAGCCCTGCATTGGGCTCTGCGCTGGGCATGGAGCCTGCTTAAGATTCTCCCTCTGCCCCTCCCTACCATCCCCCTCTATCTCCCTCTCAAATAAGTAAATAAATAAATAAAATGTATATAGAAAGGCATAAGAACTAGAACAGCAAAAGCAAATTTCAAAAAGATGAACAAGAACAGCAAAAGCAATTTTTAAAAAGATGAACAAAGTTGAAGAACTCAAGCTACCTGATTTCAAGACTTACTATTAAAGCCACAGTAATTAAGACTGTGGTATCGGTGAAGAGATAAACATAGAGATCAAAGAGTGGAATAGGGAATCCAGAAATAGAACCACACAATATGGTCAACTCCTTTTTCACAAAGGTGCAAAAGCGATTCAATGGTACTGGAATAATTATTGGACATCCACATACAAAATAATGAATCTCATTCCATATGCTACATCATCTACAATAATTAGTTCAAAAGGGATCGTAGACCTAAATATAAAACCTAAAATTATAAAACTCCTATAAGAAAGCATGGCAGAAAAATCTGTAATCTTGGGTTAAGTGAAAATATTTTAGACATGATACCCAAAGCATAATCCAGGAGTGAAAAACATTGACAAACCTGACTTGACCAAAATTTAAAGAATTCTTTTCAAAAGACAGTGCTAAGAAAATGAAAAGACAAGCCACAGAATGGGAGACAAACATATGCAAAAACATATCTGATATCTGGACATATATCCAGAATATATAGGCAACACTAAGCAACTCAGTAAAAACAGGTATAAGATTTGAACTTTACCAAAAAAAAAAAAAAAAGAAGTGAATGGCAAATTAGCACCCCCAAAAGAAGCTCAGCACCATTAGCCTTCAACTAAACCACAATGAGACATCATTACCCACCTATTAGAAAGGATTTTTTTTTTTAAACTGAGGATACTGTGGGGCGCCTGGGTGGCTGAGTTAGTTAAGCATCTGCCTTGGGGCTCAGGTCATAATCCCTGGGTCCCGGGATTGAGCCCTGCATTGGGCACCCTGCTCAGCAGGGAGTCTGCTTCTCCCTCTCCCTATGCCCCTCGCCCTGCTCATGCTCTCGCTCACGTTCTTTCTCTCTCTTTCAAATGAATAAATAAAAAAATCTTTAAAAAAAAAACCTGACAATACTTGATGTTGGCAAGGATGTGAAGCAACCAGAACACTCAGACATTTCAAGTGGGAATGCAAAACAGGACAGTCACTTTGGAAAGCATTTTAGAAGTTTCTTATAAAGTTCAGTAGACACGTAACATATGATTTAGTGACCCGGCTCCTAGGCGTTTACCAAATGAAGTACAAATGCATGTTTACACAAAACGCAGTCCGCAAATATTCTGGCAACTTTTTCATTGTCAACCAAACTTGGAAACAACCTAAATATGCTTTGGCTGATGAACGGGTGAGCAAACAGTGCTGTGCCTATACATAATGGCCTAAGTCTCAGCAATGAAATAAAAGAACTATTTATACATGCAACGACTTTCCAAATCTCAAATGCTAAGTAAAAGAATGCCATGTGCTGTATAATTCCATGTAAGTGATATTCTGGAAACAGCAAAACTATACAGACAGAAAACAGCCAGAAGCAGGGGCTAGAGGGAGGGACTGACTACAAAGACAGAAGAGACAATTGGGGGGAATGTTTGA